CTCGCGAGAGCACAATTTGAATTTGCTCAGCGAGTCACTCTGGCAATCAGTAATGATGCTCATTACCCATGCCCTTGGAGCCGAGCTACACCAATCACATCAGTGTATCTGAAAAAGGCAGGCCAGAGGAGAGCTAAACAGATGAAGACAGCGCTGCGAAGACGAAGTCCGGAATCAGTCAGTAAACATTGCAAGATGACTACGGATGAACACCAGTTGTTTGAAACGGCTTTGGCCGCTACAATGAACGAGTTAAACTTGGCTTTTTCTCTAAAAGAGGAACAGAAGACGGCACTCGAATCTTTCCTTTGCAAGAAGGACGTTTTTGCTGTTTTGCCAACGGGATATGGCAAGAGTCTAATCTACCAGTTAGCTCCGCTGGTAGCACTCTGGATACGTCACCCCATGTATTGTTCTGATTGGTCGTAGTGTTATCCAATTGCGTGCAGTGATATTTACAAACGCATGCTTGGTGCCGCCCCTCGAGTTGGGCCATTTTCATTACTCGTGGCAAGACCCTAAATCTTTCTAGATTTGGGTCTGGATTCCCATGCTAGCCATAAAGTGCACTAAAATAAGTTTCTGAAAACATTTCAGGGGAGAATTAGACACTACAGTAACATTATCTTGGTTTATATTTGATCAGCACTGCCTCGTCTTACAGTTTGATCTGAGTTTCAGAGAGAAAGGGAGCAGCCGTTCAATCCGCTTTTATACTCTGTGTCCATGGTGGCGGGCATATGAAAATGCAAAAGTACAATCTTTAGTTCAAGCAACAGCCTTAGAGCCAGGAAAAAATCATTGGAAGATGAGCAGGGCGATCTGGGAACTGGTAGGGTGGAGAAAAGTTTAACCACAGTTCTTTTACACATACTGCCCACATTGTTATGACACAAAGCTGGTTGAAAACCAGCAACGTATCCCTTTAAATTGGTAAATATTTCACGGATTTCTTTGCATACTGACTGCTGTTTGTATTGCATTGACAGTATGTAATGTTCCAATCTTTAACAAGATTTAAAGATGTATCTAAATGCAAGATTATGGATGCATTAAGTGATCTGAGTGGCAACTGTAATATTGTTGTGGAATATTTTCTCATCGTGCATAGAAAAAAAATCATCCATTCTTAAATGTTATAATAAAATGAAAACCAAGTACTTCCCTGAGTCTTGTAGGCACACTGCCCTGCCACAAGGTGGGGCTCTAACCCCAACTATTCCTCTGTTTCAACCTGAACCCTGTTGGAGATCCTGCGTCTATAAGCAGCAATCTCATTTTCATGAAGAGTCTAGGAGCTCGCAAAACTAAATGATCTGGGTGGTATCTACCGCTCGTCTCCTTCCCTTCTTCTCCTCTGTACATTTCAAAAAGACAGAGGGGAAGGAGACAGAGGGAGTTTAATGCAAAGGGGGAGTTATGACTAACACATCTGGGAAATGCACTAAAAAACACATTTGAAGGCAATTAGGTTTGTGCATCCAGATGAAATATTAGATCAATAGCGTGACATCACACTGGTGGCTCGGTTTCATTCAGGGAATCCCCATTCATCACTATCTGCACCGTTTCCCCCACTCATCACTAACACAGGTCACGGTGCAGTGTAGCACCCACTCAGGGAAATGAGGCTGACGCTAATGCACCAGTCTAATGATGAGGAAAAATCAATAAAAGCAGATCAAAGGGAAAAAACCCCACAGAGGATCATGATTAAACATTCAAGCTATAGCATCCATCCCTTTACAACTGCCTTTACTAATGCAGTTCCTGCCGCTGAATCCTGTCTGATGTGAGGCAGCTAAACAAGGAGACTAAAACTGTGGTTGGATACAGCAGTCATTAGAGACCAGATGCAATTTATCTCTTTCCAGATTCAGTCAAATGTTTTCTTAATCCTCACACTTAAATATCGTCAGTGCTGATGAGAAAATGGACTGAGAAAGAGTTTATGATAGAGGCTGTGCCTGCCCTGGGCTAAAACACAGGGCTACAGTAAATTCTGCATAGCAGCACAATCTGCCGCTGGCTCTCCTCCATAAACCTCTGGTGCTGATGTTGAGAGGAGGGGAAGAAAGGGAGGAGGAAAGGGAGGAGGAGGAGGAGGAGGGGGAGGCCCTGCCACACTGCCCTGCTCCAGCATGAGACGCATGAAGTCAGCCAGAGAAAGCCCATGTCATGCAGGAAGTACAGTGATGGTGTATTCAAAATAAAAACCTGTAAATGCTGGATTCTAAAAGGAAGATAATAAATAAAGTTTTCTGGGTGTTTCTTGTCTGCTTGTCTTAGTCTTTACCCTCTATTTTTACTGATAACCTTATCATTTTGTCTTAATTTAAATCCTACTTAAACAGCTACCTCATGTAAAGCATATGTTTAAAAACTGATTCCTTTCTCTTTCATTCTTACATACACTGCATTCATGTGGCAAATGAGTTTCTTTAGAGAAACAGTTCCCATTTACGTAGACATAATGGGCAATTACATTGGGCATGTAAGCAGAAGGAACTGGATTTTGACCCCTACAATCAACCAAACTGCTCTCACATCTGAGCCAGGGGTGTAAAACTTATTTTAGATCATGGGCCACATACAGCCCAATTTGATCTCAGATGGGCCGGACCAACTAAACCATCGTACAATAACCTAAAAGCCATCAGCTCCAATAGTTTCCCTATTTTTGTGTAAAGAATGACAAGTACATTCTGTAGGCGTTCATCCTTTAACAAAACAGCTGACATGTTCTAAGAAAAATAAGCGTAATTTGACCAGTATGTCTTGGTTTTTCCACATTCAGTCTGTCTACTTCTCACTGTCATTACATGTGCATTTATCCACACATTTCCTGATACAGATTCTTCTGAACTGAAGCTGCTGATTGACAATATTTTTGCACGATGATCAATATCTTTAAACATGGTCACAGTTAAGCATTCTTCATTATATCAGAGAACTGTTTTCCGGTCAGGGTGGAAGAGGCTCCGAAGCAGAATTTTACATGAAGCAGGCAACACATTGTTAACTCGCTCCTGCAACCTGGCACCTCATATCTTTGTTGTGTCATTTAGGCTAAGTTGAGAATTAAGTTCACTTCTTGTTTTATTGTCCTGTATTTGAAGACATAAGGAATGTATTATTCAGTAAGATGACCTCTGTGTATGCTGATTTCTTTTGGTTGGATGATCATGAAAAATTTGAGTTTTGTTTCAGAAGGGAACCTTTTTGTGGCTGAATTTCTTTGCCAGGACAGAAGGCGGAGCATTTTGTTTCTGGACTGAGTAGTTCGATAACATTTACTTTGGATTGTTACTGTAGTGTCATTGTAATGGTGTCTTGTAAACTCATGAAGGTTGAGCACATGTAAGTGTGCATGACACAAATAAAAATCAATCAATCAATCAATCAAATCAATCAATCAATTCTTAGTCTAGTTATCTAGTGGGCCAGATTGGACCCATTGGTGGGCTGGTTCTGGCCCAGGAGCCATGTTTGACAGCCCTGATGTAAACTATATGTTCAGATCAATACTGGCTGTACAGTAAGCCATACACTTTGTAACACATAATATTTTGTCATCTTACACATATTGCTTTGAAAATGAGCACAAAAATGTGTTTCCCAAAAGGTGACCTTGTTTGCAAGCTGGGAGGATAGGCCTATAGAGAAAAAAAACTATGGCATGACAATGTTATCTGATAGACCTATTTAATTAATGAACATATTTAGGCTACAGTATAAGTGCATCAACATGTCAACATGACACCACAGAGCCCCTAAATCCAAACCAACAATATGTTCCTCCACCATTGACACTTTGCAGCCTGCATGCAACTGATTATCAACTGCAGAACAAATCCGGAAATGAGGACAAAACTTAAACAACTAAACAAAAATGGCCAGCAATAACTAAAAAAAGAGATATGGTAACCACAGCGGGTGCAACTAAAATTAAGCTTTTCAGCCACTAAATACCCTGACACTTCATATTGGATCAACAGCAGAATTAACCATCTGCAAAACAACAACATGAGATGAATAAACAAACTCAACAGCAGCGGCTGCAGCAGCCACAACCACGCATATTAAAGCAAAGGAGCGATGCAAAGTTTTTACACAGTGTAGAGCACACACGAAAAAGTTTGTTGTAGGACTCACCTGTCAGATCAATCTGTGATGTGATGTAGGCCTGCACCGTCTGCTCCATTTTGAACTCCTCTGCTTGTTTATTCTCAGCCTCTCTGTCCCACTGAACTCCTCAGACTTTTCAAACATAATGATTTGAATGCAGTCACAACAGCACAAAGTCCCAACATCCCTCACTGAAGATAAAATATCTTCAGTGAAATCAGGAGTAGCATTTAGCATGTCAGTCACAGACTGCGTGCACCTGTGGGTGCGTTTGATTTGAGCCACTTAGCTGCTCGCCAGGAGGCGCAGTAAAGGAGGATGCAACCTTTTTTAAACTTATGTCGAGCTACAATATAGACCTAAACTTAATCTATAATGATGTGATTCTTTATTATGTTGCATTTGATTATGGACTTTATTATATATATATAAGACAAATTTCCTTCGGGACAATAAAGTCTATCTTATCTTATCTTATCTTGGGTGAATTATTGTAGTGTATTCTATATTTTAAAGAGGCTTTTATTCTGTGTTCTGTCTCCGGAAGTCCTCAGTCTTAATATGGGTGCTTTGACACTGGTCCCAAGTTGAGTAGAGTCGCTGTGCCGCTGCGCCGTGGAGACAGTTGGTGGAGGAGAGGAGGGGAAAGTGTCTGATCTGGGGTCTGCTTTCAGAGAGACGCCTCACATCCATCCATCTGTCTGTAGAGAAGGAAAGAGACGCGCTCAGGCTACTTTCCAATGAGCAAACAGACTTAAAGACAAGTGTTGGTGCTGGATCAAGGCGGGCGGCAGGAGCTCCTCTGACTGCGTCTCTCCTCCTTGGATGTATCAGAGAGGAGAGGAGGCTTTCTCATCTGAGCCCCTCCGGACATGAGCCATACGGCGGATATGAAGGAAGGTGACGGAAAGTGATTGAAGAGGAGAAAATGATGGCTGCTTTCATCTCTTCTCTCGTTTTATTCTTTTCTTTCAGGAGGGCCGATCTGTAAGGTGACACCCGAGCTTTATAAAGCAGCTTTTAAATTGTCTTCATCCTCCTGCTTCACCTCAGCTGGTGATCCTGGTTATTTAATCAAAGTTGAAAGTTATTATCATGGGATGTCTCCTGACTTATAGTCAATTTTAAACCACTTTCTAAAAAGAAATTCCTTTTCTGATCAAATTTGGTACACCTGAGACTTGATCATGGCCATCAACACGGACACCGACTTCCTACAGTCCAACTTGAGTGAGGGTGGAGGAGGCGCACAGCCCGCGGACCCCCACGAGACGGAGAAACTCCTGGCTCTGACCACCGAGCCCGGAGGCAACGGGATGAAGATGTCCACCTCCTTCACGGTCAACATGGACAGCGACAAGGGCCTGGAGGCCGACCAGAACGGCCACAGCGTCGCCGTCAGGTCGGGCTCCGCCGGGCAGCTGACCGCCGCCGCCCCCCTCTCCCCATCCAAGGCCAGCCTGAGCCGCTCCTCCACCGGGAACGCTACCGTCCAGGAGACCCCGAAGCCCAGGGATTAACTCATCCTCGTCATCATGTCCTGCTTCTGCCCCGTCTGGCCCGTCAGCATTGTCGCACTGGTGTACTCCATCATGGTGAGTTAACTCTCTCTGTGGTTCTCCAAATCTACCAAAAAAAACTACAGCATCCTGCGAGTGCAAAAAGTGGGGCAGCAGAGGTGGATGTTTAGTCTGATGGAGAGACCTCATACTGATGATCTATGAACAGCATCAGTTGTTTGTAATTAGTAAGCCTTTAATTTCAAACCACACAAACTTGTCAATATCCACGTGACATCTTTGTATAGCACAAGGTAAGTGTCAGGATTTGAAAATATGTTTGCTATCAATGTAATCTGGCTCAGACATGTCAAGTTAGTATAACCGACATGACAAACAAGTGAGATGCCTCCCAAAACAGCTATACCTTTCTGCAGCTGTGCAGTGTATACTGTACATCTGGTTTACCGAAGCATATTGTCTACTTATCCTCCTGATATCTGAAGAAAGTGAGACAGACATGTTGGAGAAAGTGGATATTTCTCTTGACTAAGAGCAATGTTAGTCTTTAAGAGGATGGCCATCAAACTGCATGACAGGGGAATATTCATAAGACAACATAAGCTTAAGTGCTATATCATAGGCAATTGGACTTGCTTGAGTTTCTTGAAGACGTTTCGCCTCTCATCCAAGAGGCTTCTTCAGATGTGACAAAGTTGGTCGGCTTTCTACAACGTATCTGTCTCACTTTCCTCAGATATCAGAATGAGAAGTGCCGACGATATAGCATTTAAGATTACCATGACCTGGATGACTGAGAATCTTCACCAACAGATAAGATAGGATAAAATAAGATAAGATTACACCGGGCGAGAGGCGGGGTACACCCTGGACAGGTCGCCAGACAATCACAGGACTACGTACAATTTAGAGTCACCAATTAACCTGCATGTCTTTGGACTGTGGGAGGAAGCTGGAGTACCCAGAGAAAACCCACACTGACTCAGGGAGAACATGCAAACTCCACACAGAAGGGCTCCCTCACCCTGGGTTCAAACCAGGAACCCTCTTGCTGTGAGGTGACAATGCTAACCAATAAGATACGACAAAACAAGACAAGACAAGACGAACTTTATTGTCCCCAGAGGAAAATGTTGCTTGGAATCAACCTGAACCAATACATAGTCAAACATGACAGTGATACAACACAGACATAATAAATACATACAGTACAACAAAAATAAAAAATGGAGGATATATAAAGTTTTGCACACACACAGGCATTGGCATACGAAAAGCAAAAGTACAATCTTTCATATGAGCAACAGCCCTAGAGCCAGCAGACATCAATGGGAGATGGGCAGGGAGATCTGGGCGCTGGTAAGATGGAGGAAAGTTTACCACAGTTTATTTACACATACTGCCCACATTATTATGACACAGAGCTGGTTGAAACAGTATTGACTGCTGTTTGTATTGCATTACAGTGTACAATGTTCCTGTGTTAAGCAAGATATAAAGATGTATCCATAAATGTTAAAATTATGGATGCATCAAGTGATCTGAGTGAGAAAAACAGTTACTACTGTTCTGATTCATCATGCATAGAAAGAAATCATCCACTCAGCCCTAGCTGATACCACTGTGGGAGCAGCTTCGTTGGATTTCTGTGTTAATTATTTCCTTACACCATGTGAGCCAACAGCACCACCATTATTGTAGTTTTATTAAGTCATATATGTCACACTGTTTTGCCTGATCAGTGTAGGAGAAGTGAAGTAGAAAATATGTTATTTCTAAAATGTTATCTTTACTCACGAGCCATATATTCACTGTAGAAATGAGAAGTCATTAAAACCTTTAAACAATAATACATAATCCAGAAAACAAAGTGCAATAGTGTTTACTAGCTCACCAAATTCATTATGAATAGAAAGATATCAGTACATCCAGAAGTATATCAATGCTCTTTTTTATTGATCAATATTTTTGATTAAAACAAATCCCTTTTCTGTGAAATATGAAAAAAAATATTGCCAAATTGCCAAATGCAAGTTATCAGAACCCAGGGTGGCTTCTTAAAAGTACTTAATTTCTTTGTCCAGCAGCCCAAACTTTAATTTACAGTATTAAAAAACAGATTAAAGCAGCAAATCCGCAAACTTTAGAAGCCAGAACTGACAAACATTTGGTGTGTTCATTGGATAAATCACAACCAGTGATTGATTAAGTTAAATATAATCTTTACTTAACTCAGTAGTTGGACTTTTTATTGTCTTATCCTGTGTAAATGGTATTCATTTAAACGCATTTAAATGTAAAAAAGATCTAAATAAAGGTTCCACCAAAACCAGAGAGGGTCTCAAAAGACTGCAGAACAGTTGTTTCAGTTCACTTCAGCGTAATGTCATATCTAAATATCCAAAAATTCCTCAAAATGTTTCATATTTTATTGACAGTACATTTTCTGTGTTTCATTGGAACATACACACACATGCACACACACACATCCAGAGCTCAGTGCATCATCAGCTTTCCCAGTGCTGAGTCTCCCGCTGCTGGTTGCTCTGGTTTCGAGGCGCTGACACTTGATTAATCCTCTCACTGGAAGTTTCAGGATGCAGGAAATGCTGATACAAGACGCAGCTAAGACACTGAAGCCACGCTGGGCGGCCACACATGCTTGATATGCTGCTACTGTTAAGTACTCTCCAATCAATATTCTGGGGACACAATTCTTAGTTGGTCTTCAGCAAGCACTTGTTCCAACCCAACTATGTGGCCTCGTCACATTCATATTGCAGCACATGCAGTTGAGTCAATGTTGAGGGTGCTCTGCGATCAAAGTGAAAGCTGACACTTGTCTTGTTGTCACCCTCTGCAGTGGGGAAAGGTCTGCAGTGAAAATGGTGGACTTGTCATTGAAGGCTGTGCGAGGCTGTAGCTCATTTCACAACATTTGGATAACGTCCAAGATAATTAAAGCAAGATACTGCTGGGCTTGTGCTTGATTTTGATGTGTAAAAATGCAAACGTGGTCTAACAAGCTGAGAAATGTGTCAGCTTTGTGTTGGAGAGATTCATGATTTTGTCGACGTTTTAGAAAAATTACAGATACGGTGTAGCTTTGATTGAGTGGGCTACATCTCATTGATGGTGACCTTTGCTTCGCTCTGGCACACACTGACTATTAGGTAATAAAAAGTCATTGTTTAAGCGATATGCCAGTGATATTGCAGCAAAGGTAAAACACAGTAATGAAAAGTGGCATCCAGTCTGTACTCTTTGTCTTCAGATTACACTTGTGCAAGATGATACAATAAAACATCCAGCCACAGGAAGCTGCAGAGGGCATTTGATCACTGGCATGATTTGATAATAATTATGTGGAAATTTGCCTTCAGCTTTACCTGTTGGTTGAAACACATCAGAGTAAAATCACAATACATACAATGAATGACACAAGATGCACAGTACAGACATCAGTAACGGACATGGTTCCAGTGCAAACAGCAAAGTTAGTGCATTTGGTATGAAAGGCCTCTTGTAAATGTTCTTGGTTTCTACAGCAGCTCTTTTATGAATCCTTTGAAAAGAGGATGAACCAGATCAGCCACAATATGTAGGGCTTTTTGTTACACTTGGTTTTAAATATATATACACATCCCAGTTATTTTTGCTGTTTCCCAATAATTTAACTGGCCATGTTTTTAATTCTGGGTGGTCTCTCTTTGTTCCTAGCACCCATGTGTCGATGTGCACTTTAAAGATTTATGTAAACAGTCTCTAAAAATGTTCTTGCATAATTCCTGATTAGAAAGAAAGGCTGTATTGCTTTTTTTTAAATGGCAGTAAAACTTAGAGTGCCATCAAAAAAGGTTCCTTAATAGCCAGTGAGCACTGTGCTGTTACAATGTCAGTATGATCTGTTGTGATCCGACACTCCTCCTCCATAGACGCAGATGTGGAAAGTTGATCTTGTAAAGTCACAAATTTAATATCTGAAATAAAAAATAATGTCAAGGTTTGATGGTCTAAGAGCTGCAAATGCAAATGGCAGTTCAGTCGGGTAATTACAGACATAACTTCAGGCCCAGCGATCAATAAGTTATTTGCACTATACTGTACTGCACTGTATATTGGTTAGGCTGCTGCACGCGCACACACACACACACACACACACACACACACACGCGCGTCCAGTGTATGATCTGTTCCTGATGAGACCCTACATTAATATGTGGTGTGCACTTGAGCTACACTTCTAATGGGATTGTGTTACATACAAGACTTCCACAAAGTTTTTCACAGAGATCAACATCTGTAAAATAAAAAAAAAAAACACTTCATTTACAAGTAAGTACAGTTTATTTTCGTCACATAGTTTTTATTTTTAAGTGCTCTTCCCTGTTGTAGAGTGAGTGACTAACAGACTGCTACTTGACAGAGACAGCAAACTAGCTCAATGACATGGCCAAACGCAAGTATGACACTGAATGTATTAAACTGTGTGGACCTTGAACTAATGTCACAGGAGAAATCTGGACCCTGGGGCTGGACCAGTTGGGAACCAGTGGTTTACCTTGTTCCCACAGGAGTGCCTTTTTGGTCCCTGGTAGAACCTTTTATAAAGGCTTTTATAAAGGTTGTGAGTGTTCAACCCAGAACCCCCTGTGCAAGGTTATACAGAGAACACTTCTGTAGTGTAATGGTTCCTCCTAAAACCCTCTCTGGGGGTTCAATTCTGAACTTTTCCACCTACTTAGTTGGCTAACAAGAACCCATCCAGGGGGTTCAACTGAGAACCCTTTGATATAATACCAGGTATTAATATAGAATCCACCAAGGGGATGGCAGTAGTAATGAAATAAGCACAGTAAAAAAGAGTAATTGACACACATGGATCTGTCTCCCACTAATCATGGTTTTAGTTGGACAGGTTAGCCCGAGTCATGTCATGTAACGCGCGTCACATGCAACCCCTAGCACACACTGGACAAGTCGCGCCACAGTTTGTAAACAAACGACCATGCAAAGTAATTACTACTTTTACTATAAGATTTGTACGTCCTCCACCTTTGCATTAGCTTAAAATC